ACAGGAACAGTTGAATTTATATACACACATTGATATCGCCATTTTGGGTAATCTGTCTTTAATGCACAGTGTCAATATCGGTTTGGTTGAGAAACTGATATGCAGTTTTGCGGCATTAAAAGTTCTTTCAATTGATCTTGTTAATCTACGGTTTAATATATCGCTGCCTTTATCGCTTTTGAACTGTACATTTAAGTGAGGCTTTTCTTACTTTCTGTGTACCGCTTGGTTTTATGTGTAGTTTCATAGATATACTTCTTTACAAAGTTGGTAGGGTAGTCGTTTTGTAGCAAGGCGTTTGCAAGATTTTTTATTTCATCTTCAATACAATCCTCAGTACATATGCGTCTAATTCTATGACTAAGGCAACAAATTAGGTTTCGTTTATATTGTATAGGTATGAAGCTATGGAAGTGGGTGTATTGTCCGCTCCACGTCACTTTCCTATAGATGTTTCTTTTTAAGGTACCGTATGTTCTATTTGTAAGAAGAACATCCAGAAATGGAATACTACCTTGGAGTTCCTCTTCACAAGTGAATTTAATAGCCAGGTGTTCCTTATTGAAGACTTGGAGTAGGTGTTGTCTATCCAAATTATTGTTACAAATGATAAAGATGTCGTCAACATATCGACAATAATAATCAAGTTGGTTTAGTATCTCTTTTAAAAGACCACTTTCCAATTAAGATAGAAATATGTCAGCCAATAAGGAATCAAAGGGAGAGCTCATAGCATCCCCATCTATTTGGCGGTAATAATCCTTATTGAACACAAATTGAACGTTCATAGTGAATTTTAGTAGTAACTCTTCCAATTTTCTTGGTGTGATTCCAATTTCTATTTTCTTTTCTACGAGTTGTTCGCATATGTAGTCGACAGTTTCTACAAGGGCGACGTTGGTGAATAGTGATATTACGTCCAGCGATAACATAGTTTTGTCTGTCAGGTTCAAATCTTTAATGTTTTCAGCAAAGTTAAAGACATCTTTTACACTATATTTAACCAAATGGCGATGTCGCGGTTCTAACAGTTTTACTAACCATTGGGCAGTTAAGTGGAAGGGCGAGTTCAACATCTCCAGAATTGGTCGTAGGGGGATTCCCTGCTTATGTATCTTAGGTAAGCCATAAAGTCTAGGCGTACGAGTCCCGGTGGGCTTAATAGTGTCGAAGATGGAACTATCAATTAGATTTTCAATTTTTAAAGACTTCAAAGTTTTAACGAACTGGAGTTCTGTTGCTTCATTCCTATAAGAAGTCAATCCTCTTCATTTTTAATCATACAACAACTTACATAATTCCGGACTTATGTTACTCTTATTTCCTATCAATTATTCCTTGTCTTCGTTGGAAAATTACAGTGAAATCTTCAATGTATTTTATATATTTTTATTGTTCATATTGTAGCCAGTCGTCAAGAATTCTTGAAATAATAAAAGATAAGTTCATACTATCCTGGTAAATTTTGTAGTTCTTGTTTTTTGCAAGTTTATCAATGGGGAGCATTGAATGGAGTTGAGAATTTCGTCAACCAGGAATCGAACCCCACACCAAATGCGTGCTTGGCAGTCTTTTTACCACCACACTTCAAGCGCACACAAAAAAGTACGTTCACCTATAGAGAATGATCAGCTTTTCAATCCTCGAAGTGATCTGTTTAGGCCCGACGTTATATACTAGTGGCTCATGTCAGGAAAGACACATAGTTTCACTGTAGGACAGCTTGTGGAAGAGTTGAAAATGTTTATTTTTGCAGAAAAAATATGCAGTCCCCTTAAATGTGTGAGAACAGCAGTCGTGATACTGAATGACTCAAATATTTGGGAATGAATTTTATGTGATTGAAAACAATGTAAATTTATTTTTGTTAGTTTTAACCAATTTTAGGGTTTCTGTTAGTTCAGAAGGCATACAATATTACCTATTATTAAAGTGACTTGATACGCGCTATTGCAATCATAAACCTTGTAAAATTATTCAAGCATAATCACATAAATACTTCACTTTGAAGTATGAGCTAAAAATGCTTTTTAGAAAGATACTAAAGGCCTCTTATTTAAACCATCTAATAGAGAAAAAACCACAAATTCCAGTCTATTACATACCATGACAAATATTTTGATAAGTACTCAGCGAATCAGATGGGTCTTTTTTATTCTAGCTCAAGTATTTGACCAGTGATCCATAATTTCGTTAATAGGACGTTTTGACGTCTTTATCCACGTAGTTTTGAAGACCTTAACATCTCTAAATTTGATGTAATAAGCAATCCAAAATAAGTTTCTGCTTTTCATAGGATAGGAAAGGGGAGCGAATTCATAAACAAATGAACCAATTTACTCCAGTTGCTAGATATATAAATAATGCCTTTATAAAGAGGACAATTCTGTAAGTACAAAATTTCATTAACGATAGAGTTGTGTAGGAGATGTAAGCACCGGTATTTATAGTTTTATCAGGAAACTGTAATTCACTTAAACGGTGGACTGAAATTAGATCATGAGTGTACTGTTATCGGAAGAGAACAAATCTGAATCAAAATACACAGTTGCTAGCCAATTAAGTAAAAGAGAAAGAAAGTAATTAAGAAATAGAAAATTCAGTGTGTGAATTTTAGAAATTGAACATAGTGCAGTATATCAATGTCAAATGACGGGATCCAGACAAGAAAACATGTGAATAAAAAAGGGTTATTACAATAGGCGTTGTTGTTGAAAGGAAAGATATGCAAATAACACAAATTAGGAGACTACACGAATTTATTCTGTAGTAAGGGATTTGGCCTGAATCTGCGACAATCTCCTCATTCATGCAATATTTAACCCTTGTGTTTTTTTCCTTCACGTTCCCAGTGTAACATAGGGCCTGAAGCTAGTAGCTTGAAGTTTCTGTAGCAGTGTTTAGTTTTTACGGGATGGCGTTGCTAGCCTCATGCCCAACCTTTCCTCCTTATCAGCACTATCTCTGGCTTAGCGAGATAAGGAAGTGCGTCGGCCGGGGATCGAACCACGGACCATGTGCATGGTCGGCCGGCGTCCTAACCTCTATGCCACCCCTGTGTTTAACTCTCTGAAAAATTTAAAGAATTGCGTTCTATGTACTTCATGGCTAGAACTTATAGGTGCCTAAGTACTAGGCTACATTCAGTCTGAACAGCGATGTTCTGAAGTGCTTCTGAATAGTGTACTCTTTGTACTGACGCCGTCCTGACGTATTGATTGTGACTGATATTTATTTGCAGTAAATGTGGACACCGTTTTAGGTAATGTTCTCTAACACTTTTTGAAGGAATATATATAGAACGACCTATGCATCTAGCTCCGAAGGAGCAGATGCATTGATATATGCACACTGTGGTAATTATTTGCAGGAGTTTATCTTTCAGATGGCTTGGAAGCAATGGACTGCTACAGAATATTACTCTTAGTGTTGCTGCAGTAAGGATCTTCTCATGGAAACTGAAGATTCTCCTCTTTTAGTGTATCTGCAGCTAAGTTTAAGCTTGATTCCAAATTAATATATAGTATTTTGTTTGGTGATGAATTGCATTCTCCTCTTTTTGCCTATGGTCTCATGTTCAGCTTGACGAAACGTGCGACTATCCATTTTGAGCCAGGATACTTTTGAAAAGAGACAGCACCTCTTCTCGGCAGTCAATAATGCAGATTCTTCTGATACGGTGGCCAAGTGAAATGATGAAAATTCTTTTCCGACAGCCAGAGTTCCTTCATTTGTTCTTATCGATTCTACGTGCAAAAATGGGAACCTTGACTCATTTTCCAATTCTGTTGCGAAGGATAGAAGGATGGCAATTACTAAATTCTTGTGAGATAAAATTGAAACAAGAATCATCATGACATACTGTAAAATTGTCATCTTCATGTCTTTTTTGGCAGTAATTTATCAACTGCTGATTTAAAGATTCCGTTCTTCAAACTGTCCATAAAGAGTTTTACCCAACGTCGGCCAACAGGAAAGCCCACGATAGTTCTATCTTTCTGTCTGTAGATATAATCGTTGAGGATAAAATTAGCAATAAATGTACATCACATTTAAAGCCGTTTCGTATATGATGTCGGGTTTCCAATGCGCACATTCATGTCGCCAATATATTTGCATAGGGAACAGACTGCTTCTGTAAGCGGCACTTTTCCAGATAGAGATTCAAAGTCTAACGATAGCATACATTAACCGATTGCAATGAAATCTTTTACACCGCAAACAGTTCAAAAATATCTCGAAGACAGTATCTACGTAATTTTCACCCTATAGGCTTTAAAATTCCGGACAATTACTCGACAGTTCTTTAGTTTGGTGACCCCGATAAATCCACAGTCGGTCCCAGTGATAGACTACCTTTGTGTACCCTTATTATTTATTATTATTGCTCCCTTGGGTTCAACTGCACGTCTCCACTTGCTTCTGTCTTCTGCTATACTTTTCACTCGCATCCATGTTAGTCCATACTCTTTCAACTCCTCTCCACACGATCTCCTCCATGTCACCCTTGGACGTCCTACTCGCCACTTCCCTTTCGGGTTCCACTCGAGGGCTTGACGCGCGATGACACCCAGGGGTCTCCTCAGCGAGTGTCCGATCAATCTCCACTTTCTCCTGCATATTTGTTGGGTGATTGGTTATGCTAAATTGAATAACGATTGTATCTAAGTAAAATTATGTTAATAAATGCGACTGTACAGATTTTTAAGGTGAAATCGCCAAAAAATGTCTTTGCTGAGCTTAGGTTAAGAACTCTTTGAAGAAAAATGTTACCTAAAAATTCTGCTTTCAAACGTAGAAGGTTTCATCATCTCTTGTGTAAAGCACACGTTTCAGTAGGTATTAATGCAACTTCTAAACCACCGATGAGTTCTTTTCACGTTTGCTTAGGTAACTTATTGACAAACTACTGTCAGTTTACTTTTTTAACGCTTAGTGATAATTTCTTTAATTCATTATAAACACAAATAAACAATATTTGACGAATGAAATCAACTTACAATTATGCGAAATGGAATAGCTTGTCGACCATATTTACTCACTAGTTTAGTTTGAAATGGTACAAGATCCGATTCTTTCAATGTATCACTAAATATTCCATAAGGATCATCATGAACTACACTCATTGACATTTGTTCAGAAGATTCTTGACCTTTTTTTGAGTGTCGTTTTAATTTTTTCCATTTTTTTGTCCATTTTTTATCACCCATAGCTGAAGCAGTATCATCTATAGGATAACTAGGCCATACACGTTTTGTATAAATTAGTAATTCTTTTTGGAAAGTTAATCCTAATACATCTAAATCATCACGACCATAACGATATGAACAAGTGAGTATTAGAAAGACTAAATCTGCACCCATTACATCCTCTGATATTGTGAGAATTCCATCTATAAGTATAAAAGGAAAACAGAAAATAAATGCATACATATTATAATTTTCAAGGCTGTAAGGCAGTAAAATAAGAAATCTTCCTTAATTTAAAAAATAATTTAATTATACTTTCTTTTATTCCACAAATTAATTTGTTTACTTGACATATCACAGAGTGAATCAGCTTTATTTACTGGATCACAAATTTTTCGAACACAATCGATTGTTTTTTTCATAATCATATCAGTTCTAATCACACGAATTCGACACTTGAGTTTTACAGTTTTCTCAAGTTTCGAAGTTTTCTGTATTCCTTCCTATCCTTCAGTCAAAAAAGCCTGTTTCCAATTGACTTTGTGAGTTTAAATGCTATTGTTACTTCTGCTTTGTGAAGAATTCCATGTAAGGTTTCCGAAGTACCTTCTTTGTAAGAAAGTGCTACTAATGTTTCAATTTCCTAATGCTAAAGCTGTCATTATCCTGTGCATGTTTGTCATGCATGTTGTTATTAATATTATTAGCAATGCATGCTTTTTCGGTTAAACATTCCCGGGGAGATAGTGGATTTGATATGACTATGAGCAATAGTTTGTTCTCGAAACTTGTTCATCAGTGAATATTACTTTATAACACTGTGTGATTTTTTGAAATGAAATCTAACCCACAATGGAGTTATACTCTACCACAGTGCCCAGGTTTGATACTTATATTTATTTATTATTTATATTTTTGATTACAGCTTGATTCAACACCGTATATTTTTGGTATAGGCATGGAATTTTCGGCATGTGATATCGGTAGCTCAAATTTTGCAGGCCGGCCATAGATATCAAGTGTGCGTCGGTAGAGGCTCGAACCCCGGACCATTTGCATGGTCGGTGAGAGCCCTAACCACTGTGCCACCGACACACAGTGATTAGGACAGTTAGTCAGTTAAACGAAACAGTTAAATTTATCTAACACCCCACACACAGTGATTGTCAGATCAAATGGATAAATCAGAGCAGTAGAGCGGGTTCAGTCACACTAGTTGAGCGTACAAACCTAGCTAAATCAAGATTAGTTGACCCTTATAAGATAAGAATTCTGGACATTTGTTCAGCTCTACAACTGACTACATGTAATTAAACACCATCATGCGTTGGTAGCACAGCGGTTAGGAATCTCGCCAACCATGCACATGGTCCGAGGTTAGATCCCCTGCTGACGTACACCTATTATCTATAGTCGGCCTGCAAAATTTGGGCTACCGATATCATATGCTGAAAATTCCATACTTGTGGTTTTAAGCTATACTCAAATCTAATGTCACAGAGTGGAGGGTGCTTTATTTATTGAATCAGCCGCATGCACGTGTAATAGGAATGATTCAACACGTGTTCAGCTGGAAAATTCTACTATCCCTACGACGAACAGAAAGGAATAAAGAAAACTATAAAACTCAAGTTTTGAAGTTGCGTAATAATAATTGATTTAATTATGAACAATGATAAAATGTATTCGAAACTTTGTCATCCGGCAAATAATAGTTTAACTTTGTGACATATCTAATCAACAAATTAGTACTGAATTATATGCTGACACACTGCCCAAGTCTTACACGTATATAACAATTTGTTTTTAATTATTTATTCTATTCCTTTGCCATCCTGGTGGAGAAATTGAAGCTTTCATCTTTGAACCTCCCGTAACAACGGTTTTATTTTTATAGGGTTGTGTTGCTAAACACATGCACAAACCTTCCACTTTGCCAGGCTTACTACTGCTTTGGTGAGGCTTCGGAGTGCGTCGGCCGCGGATTGAAACCCAGACTTCATGTATTGTTGGCAAGCATTGTACTACTGAACCCCCGACACAGTTTAAAGATTAATTCAATTGAATCCCACTGTTAATCTACTCCAAAACCGCATCTACTCGTAATATACCCGGCCAAGAGGAATAAATGCTGTGCATAGGGACAACAACCTCACTCCACATAAACAACACAAGCACTGCCAAAACTTAAAAGATTCAATCTGCAAGCCCAATGTTCCACTTGGAATACAAAGGAATGAGACAAAAGCCACTGGGTCCGCTGCGGTAAATTAAAAGCAAAATAGGTCACATAAGCAGGAAACATGATAATTCAAATTACACTAAGGTTATTCAACTTTTTATCAGTATTGAAAAATTAGAAAAAGTGTTAAACTTGTTTGTATATTTACTTTGACATTCGATTGCTTGACAAAATTTTAACCTTCAACATTTATTTCCGTTATTAAAAATGTTTTCCGTGTAAATTTTGAATTAACCCCAAATTTTAAAACAAACAGATTTGCCGTTCCTTATATGTTTCAAAGCTTAAAATGTATCTGCTTCTTTTACATGTGAGTTGACTCTCGAAATAATTCATCACACTGAGTCATACCATTAATCAGGACTACTTAGAGTGTTTCGATCAGAAAGGCATTAGTTGCAATAACTAATCTCCTGATAAATTGGCCATTCGTTCAACTTTATGTCCATGATCTACATTTATATATACTAGGATGTTGACATAATGAAGAAGATCTTCAGCTCAGGTGGATGTTTCCCGTATTGTTGTGTTCTTTAAATTGGATGATGATTTATCACTAAGGCTTTCATTATCCTTCTAGATGAGATCTTCACCGATGCCTTGAAAATTAAACTAACCAGCTTAGCGGTACAACAGCTTTGAAAATACTTGAGTTTTTTTAAAATGCTTCTTTAATACAGGTCATACAACATCAGTGAAATCGGTGTTGACATAACAAGTAAGTGTATGCATTGTAGACTATCTAAAAGATATGGAACAAGAGAGAACTTATGGTTCACTGGTCGCCAAAACTAACAGATGTTTTCTCAAGTACTGGTTTTTTTTTAAAGATTTTGTTTGATTGCATGGAGGATGTCATCAAGAGTCGACATCATTTGGAGAATCATTGTTAAACCTGCAAGAAGTACTGCACAGCAGTTTCGTCCTAGTGTGAGACTCTTTACAGAACACACCCATCTGAGTTCGAACCCAGCAATTTCCGGTTAAAAGGAGAACGTGTAAACTATTAAGCCACTGGGACCTTATTCAACCTCTCACAAATTCTAACTTCTGCTAATTCATGACATAGCGTGACCACTTCGGGTCCCAATGTTCTCAGTGGTCTATGAGCCCGCCTTGTAACCAGAAGATCCTGATTTAGAACTCTTGTGATCGGTGCGTACTGCAGAGAAGTCTCAGACTAGGGTGACGAAACAACCGTTCAGTACTCTCTGCATGTTTTCCAATGGTTCTCTCACTGATGTCAGCTCATAAGGGATGTATCTTAGTTTTAAGATGTTTACTAAATAATTTATAGAAAAGAATATTTCTACAGCTAAATTCTGCTACTCCATTCTATTTACTATACTGCTGGTACAATCAACTAAAATAGACTACTTCCCATAGTCGTCTTTAACACACTGTATTGCTTTCACTTAGCTAAATCCTCTGCTTTCATCAAGTGCCATTCTCTAATGAGTTCAAGACAAAGTCTCCCTTCAATAAGCGTGGCTTGGGAGACGTTTTTAAATAAACTGTTTCATTAACCAAATGAAACAACAACTATCTAAACAGTCACTTAGCTCAAGTTAGTTTTTATTTCCCCAGTTGACTGAATGAACAAAGTGCGTATCCAACATTCCACTGGTTGTCTACCAAATAACATAAATGTTAACTTTCAAACATCGTCAAAGCGTCCATACTAAAAATCAACATGTCAACAGAAGCCAAACATTTCCGTTGTGTCAGTCATTTTGACTCAGATAAAGTCATAACCTATTCCCTTTGACTAAGAGGTGGCTGTCGTTGATGTCACTTTATCATTTGAAAGGAAAAATACTGGAATAGAGTCTCAGTAGGAATACCATCACTCGCTGAGGACGATGTATCCCCATCGGGACGAAATACTCATCCTGGATCCCACCGCTAGTCACCATGCACCGAATAAAAGCTATTGTCACAGCGTATTTCATCGTTTCTTACCTCCTATATACCTAGTGCAACCCGTCTTACTAAATAACCTCTCTCATGGTGTTTATATCAGTAGTATAATCTCCATGCGTAATTACTTTTGTATTTTCATTCCCCTACGTCACTAATTTCAGTTGATATCATGGTTCAAAGTGAATACAATGACTTCATAATTTTCGTCTTAATTTATTCGACCAGGCGTACAAAAACACGAGTTAATTAAATTTGTCAAGTGAAATCTGTTGACGTCATATTGTATTACCTAGGGATGAAATTAGTAGAATTGTTTGTTTGCTTAATTACGAATGTTTTCTGCTTTCACAAAATAACTTAAAATAATATATTTTTTGTTATTTTGAAACTGAACGTCAATGGTAATTCAACATAAGCAGTGGCAACTGAACTAAGAAATTTGTGTGGACCAGACAATAAGACTTCTTTAGATAACCAAGCCGAAATGAGTTTTACTCATGGTAAATACCTATTCTTCACATAGCACAGTAAACTGCATAGTAAATGTAAATGGCTTTACTCATGACAGTGATAGAAGAAGCCTTGAGCTCAGTGAAGATATGAAATCAAAATGAATTTCCGGTAGTCAGAAGAGAGCTCATAACCGGCTGGGCAGGTCAAGTGGAATGTGAAGATAAATAATTGTCTATATCATTGTTAGGCGGTGGCTCTACATGCCACAAAATGCCAGGATTTAGAATCCACTTGGAATTCCCTGCCATCGGCTGAATGACAGTGTGTCTTCCTTACACCATTATGGATAAGATTATGACTATGACATATGATATGATTATGAGCTGTAATTTGTGCTCGAAACGTCATTAGTTAATATTACTGAATAACACTGAGTCATTTATGAAAACAAAATATTATTCATAATGGAGTTATACTCTACCACAGGCCCAAGGTTTATACTTCTGCCTTCCGCCTTTATTATCTCTGGTCTCTGATATTTTAGGGACCAGAATGGAATTGTTGTGCATCGTTCTTTATTTTTCA